CAATCCCAACTTCCGGACTTATCTAACAAGGATGGCAATTAAGTACCTCTCATAAGCTAACTATTCATTAACTTCTCCTTCAACAATTTCCACCAAAATGATACACAAAGAATTTCCAATTATCTCCTTTGACATAGACACATGAAACACCGGGACACAGTGACAATAATAGGGAAAATAGCATACTCACAGTTTGGCCAATTTCTTTCAAGATTTCATAAGGCCTAATGTGACCACACATAATTTACCTTCCTTAGCAATTTGTATTACTCCTTCAGGGAGAAATAATTGAAAATAACCCGTTCATTTTCTTCAACTCTAAATCTCTATGTCGAACACCCAAACTAAACCTTTGCCGACCTCGAACAAATACTCTAAGATGTTCCATCAAAAATTGACCATAGAATTTTCCTATTGAATATATTTGAATCACGGGGTGATGCTTCTTCTTTGACATATTTGAACCTTCAACCCCCATAGATTTCTATAAGATGGAACAACGAGGTTCGAGATTAGCTAGAAAATTTTCAAGAATCTATAAATATGCTGAGTTTCAAGAGGTTATATATCCTAAGAGACATGAAGCTTACTACTGATAAGGCTGACAAGATTAATCATTATGATGAAATCATTGATTTGACAAATAAGGCATAGAGTTAACTAGTACATTGGCAATAAAAATCATTAAGGAGGAATATTCAGGTACGTGACCCCAGTCGTCTCCTGGAGTGTAGGGAAAATCAGTTTAACAAAGATGAGAATACTCTGGCACCTTGAATGTGATATGGGTTTCAAAATACATGAAGTTAAATTACACTCCTAACATTAACTGACACAAGGAATTTATGCCACAAGTCAGTGAGGATGAAAAATAAGTTGAACACTTATGAGATTATCATAATTCAAACAGCTTAACCTTTCCTGATAATTGATCCTATATGAGAGAACTAAAGATACGACAATTTGTCTTCCAAATCAAAATGTTCGTGATATGTGTCAAAACCTGAAACATTTAATCTGAAGCCTTTCACGAGTGAAACCACGTAGCTAGGACAACTAAATATTGGGATGAAATCATGTATTGGTGAGAGAGAATAAACACTTTTCTATGAGATAGACATGTTTCTGCCATAATAACTCCCAGGTTGCAATACCAGGCCACTTCATAAGCAACTGCAATATTATGAACCAAATGAGTGACTTACTGCGGAATGATCTAAGTAAGCACGAAAGTCACACTACAATGGGAAAATAAAAGATCTTCCTATGACGAATTTGTGGAAACCTTAAATTTCTCAGAAACTTTATACGGGCAAGAGACCACTTCAATTGACATGCACACATATGATAGGAGCTGAGATGTGCTCTCATGTTACTAGACGGTGAAAAGGTTTCGTGGTGATACTCGCAAGAGAGTAAAGTGACTGTTCAATATTGCAGGAATGGGAAGAAAACTCTTATATGCCAAAAATGCAATAGCTAATTCTCCAAACTACTATTTCGTAGTGAAACAATTGTATAACTTCTGTGATACTTTACACAAAGTTGGATATTCAATGGATAGGATTGGTGAATTGAAGAGTATAGAATCCATCAAGAGGACAATGCTGATGCATGAAAACATTTTCAAACACCAGGTACTCTTCCATCTTAATTGCAATTTGCAGGTTATGAATTTTGAATTTTTGCATTTTTTGAGAAGCTTTTTTCCTTGCCGGAATTACTTTTCCTGTTTTTAGAACTATTTTATCCAAAATCGACTTTTTGGGGAATTTGACTTGAATATGATCCAATAGGCTATTCGGATCAGATACACTAGAAATAAGGTAGATGGAAAAAATGCTTTTATTTAAATTGGGCGTGTTTTTTTTATAATCATTCACTAGTAAGACCACATGCTAATTAAATTGGCCCATATGCACCCCTAAGATTGAGGAGATAAATGGCGGCTTACAGTATTTTATTATCATCCAGTTTGTCACAGATTAGAATAACATGCTTCACAATCTGCCTCGTCAATGACACTATATTAAATTTCACTTTTTTATGATTAACTTATCTGCGCATGGATCTACAGAAAAAGAAGAAAATAAGTCTTCTTTCTCAGTATTTGATATCTGGGCTTCTTTCACCTTCTTTAGCCGAGGGTCTATCGGAAACAGTCTTTCTGCCCTTCCAGGGTAGGGGTAAGGTTGTGTACATCCTACCCTCCTCAGACCCCACTTGTGGGATTATACTGGGTTGTTGCTGTTGTTGTTGTTTCTTAGTATTTGAATCTCATGTTGACCTGGAAAAAAAAAAGAAATGTATTGACAATATAAAGAATCTGCACACTATCATCATATCAATGTAATTTTACTTCTTATAGCAGGTTATATGTAATTTTTTCAGATCACCATTTAATGTTTTTATAGGAAGTTACCTGCTGTTGCCTTTTTAGTAACTTCGATTATGTATATTTTTACACTATCAGTAAATGTAACTTAACCTCCAAACTAATAACAGGTAAAAGAGCTCCACCGACTATACAATCTTCAAAGGAAACTGATGCTAGAGTTGAAGAATGGCATGTCAAAGATAGAGGATCCAAGAGTATTATTAGACAAGTCTATGATCAATCAAAACTTGTCCACTTGGCAACAACAATCCACAAGAGAAATAGGGTTTAACAGTGTTCGTCATTATGGTTTAACAGATGATCAACAAGGGGAAAGAAGTGGTAGTTGCTCAGGTGAGAACTCAAGAATATTAATGCCAGTTAGAGGATTGAATCTTGAATTGCCTTCTAATCATCAAGAAGGAACTTCAACTAGTACTATTTGTGCTAGTTATGACCATGCCAAGTTGAGAAATATTGATAAGGAAGCAGATGTGGAGCTAACACTAAGTATTGGGCCTAACAATAATTAAAAGAGGGAAAAAAAAAAGGAGATTAAATTTTCAGCTTCAGCCAAGTTTGAAAGAGGAGAAGAGTGTACTGATGGTAGCCCAGCTAGGAGCAGTTCAAGTGCTACATTCAAACAAGAAAGTTCCTCTCAAGCTTATTGGTTTTTCCAAGATCTTAGTTTAAGCAGAAGATAGCCTTAAGCCTATATTAACTTCCTTCTTTTTAATTCTTTTGTACTTAATCTATGGAAGCCTAGTTATTTCCTTTCAAATGCTTCAATGTGTTTACTTGAGTAGCTTTCTTTAATACTTGTATATTTTATTAACCTACAATCGGTAGAAATAGAATAGAGGAAAGAAGCATTCTCTATTTATAAACATGTATATAATAGATAAATATTCTAAGAAAAGGAATCACCACATCTTAGTTAGTCACTAACCTCCTATCCTCCCTTTTCATATATGTGCACCTTGACTATCTATATTAGGAACTAAACAGTGGCTCGCATGTCTACAACATTATTAACAGTCTCATTATACACATGCTCTTGAGTCCCTATTTGTGCAAATAGTCCCCCCTGTTCCAATTCTCAATGTCATATTGACAGAAACTTAACATAGCGGCAATAGGATTTGCAGTAAACATTTGGATATTTGCAGTTAATTGCACCCCTACAACTGAAATTACAGATTTTGCCCAATCAATTCCTTGATCTTTAGCCATATCATCGCCAACAGTGATTAAATAATTCCTTTAGTCGGAATCATATTTACCATCTTCACTACTATAAACAAAAACAAATCATTTTGACCTTAAACATTTAAACTTCGCCTGCCGTGACTCCATGCCCCATCTTTCATTCAACACTGTTCTATGGTCATGTGTCTATTGTCATCTTGTCAAAGATATATCGAACAGCTTTCTTGTTCTCCTGGAGCAGCAATTCCATACGAGTCCAATTTTATAGCTTCACATCATTCACCTTCATCATGTCTTTGAAGATAACATCTTGAAGACATAAAAACATAAATAGAAGTGTCATCTCTTTAATAGCTTAACCTTAGGATGAGGTAATCCACACAGTTTTACATGATACTAGAGCAATTAGAGGTCCTCGGCTTGAGTCACACCATTATGCATCAACAAAATATTTCACATTATAGGTCCAGCAAAAGAAAATGTATCAGCTGAGACAACATGGATGTATTGAAGACTTAAAGAAAATAGATTCCCTCTTTAATAGTTTAAGCTTTTAGATGAAGCAGTTCATATAATTCGATAACAATACTTTGAAATCATATCATATTCAATTTGCTGCCAATAGTCATAGATTTTTCCAGATCCAAAGATGATTAAACACCTACCAAAACTTGTTTTAAGAAATCTGCTAGCCGATCGACTTCAGCCATAACTATATTGAGACTGTGTGATTAAACGTTTGTAGAACCGTCCATGGACAATGCATGACAATAGGAGCAACTATTAATTTCAGAGCAATTATATGAAGCCAATATGGTCGTTATCTTGGTAACCAACCCAAATAGGGCAAGAAACTTTCTTTTTTTGGGGCTAAAATCCACATCATACCGGACACTACTAGTTTATTTTTCACGAATAAACCAGACTTTGCAAAGAAGAATGAAATCATCTTCATAAGTAAATTGTTAAAAGTACAAGCACATAATCAATTCTACCCACAATATAAAACAAACTTTTGAATTAAACTAAACTAGGGCATATCAAATCTCTACTACTACGAATCGTTCATAAAAGACTTACCCACTAGAGAGAGTAAATGAATCCAGACACCTTCATCATTCAAAAAGCATATACAACTCACAATAAATTTTTCTTGCAAATTCATTTCTAATAAAAAATTATCTGACCGCTTAACATGGTCAATCGAGTAGTGGAGGCCCATATCTTTTAAAATATGTCTTGGGTGTGGCAGGAGTTAGGCATACCTTATATTGCCTAACCACTAGCGCATATTAATAACCAATATGTAATATAGGGTGATGTAAGATGTTACCTCCTTATCCTGTGTGAGACATATCGTTTCTGTTACTGTAGTATATTATCAAAATTATATTTTTCATGTGACATAGGGGGTGGGTGGGTGTGTGGGTGTGTGTATAAACGCAAGGAGTTGATTCTTACAGATATTGGCCAATGTCAAGTAGATGCTTCACTGTTATCAAAGCACCAAGGACTCACAATGTATTTACAGAAGAAACGTGAAATTGGTGAAGACATCTTGCAACAGAAAGATAAAGTAGATGATCATAAAGATACTGCATAGTTTAAACTAATCAAACTAGTTTCTGCCATTTCTGACTGTATACGGTGTAATTCCCTACCCTCCAACTGTCGACAGTATCTCAAATAAAAATAATTATGTTTTCCAACTCAAGAGAGATTGTTATATCTCCTTATGTAATTGATTGTTTCCTTTTATAACTATATCTGTATTTCCTTGGACACCCTTTTTTTAGAAAGGTAATAATGCATTTACTGGGACACTTGTTGCTCCAACTTTCTGTAAGTTAACATTAAAATGATAGTTCCTGGTTCTCACACCCCAAATTCCAAAAAATTGTTATCTGGACACCTCCAATAAGCGTCAATGCCACTACATTGAACTCGAAGTTGGTCATTGGCCAAAATGGTAAAGGGATTATCCATCATCATTTGGACAGATTGAATTATACATTAACATCATAGTGGATACTTTTCACGATGCACAGTTGCTGAGAGAAAACCAAGAGTAACACAAATTCCCTCTACTTTATATCGAACAAGTTAAAACTATAAATTAACAATTACACATGTGACATCAACTGAAAAGGAGACACTTGCAGGGGACAATACCTGCAAGCTTGACTGTGAAAAGCCCAAAGACCTGTGGGCAAATACCTTTTAGAATCGCATTCCTACCTGTGTTTAGGAATAAAAGGAGAATAGAAAGAAAAGCAGGTCTGAGTCCCAAGTAATTTTAGCAAGTAATTTAAAATCTAACTTGCTTAAAGAATTTTTACCCTTTAAAGGAGTATCTTTGAAATCAGTCCAAAACTGCTTGAATTTCAGAATAGCATCATCAGGGATATCGATTTCTGACTTTAGCTCACATTATAGGAAATACGTGAAGAGAAAGGCAGTTTATTTTATGAGAAAGAGTCAGAGAAATGTATTACCTCCTCCAAGCAGCGGAGACAAAAGGTGGTAGGTCAACAAAGCCTTTCACCTCAAAGCTTTGAAAGTCATGTTTTGCTTCGTGTAAGTTTTTGAAATATTTTGAGAGATAAAAGTGTACATCTGCTCCTGATACTTTTTAATAAAAACAATTATATTATTGTTTCTCTTCTAAGTTTAAATCCTTATTTGGCCATTCCTTCTTGGATATAAGATTCATTAAGCTCTACAAATATCACAATGCTATTTTAGCTTGGGAAGATGACAAATTCAATTAGTAATATCGTATATTTCTTTACCTATCAATCAAAAGGAAAGAGGAACTACAACAAGATCCTGGAGGATGATCACCTTTCTGGTAACAAAAATCAGTGAAAGAATTCAAAGGCAATACTTCATACTCTTGAGCCCTTCATTGGTACTCCCCTATACTGTCAATAAAAGGCCAACTACATACCCTAAGTTGCTTGCACACGGGTGCGGATAATCTGACTCGGGTGCAGATCTAGAGGTCGGATCATTAAAGATGTAAATTCTAAGATTTAACGATATAGATCCTAGTATGGATACGGGTGCGGGGAACCGGCTAAAAATAATTTTAAAAAATAAAAATATTAAAAATTATGAGAAATTTTGTGGAATACTTACGTATAGCTTGTAAAGTGTGAATTTCTTTTTTATTCTCAAGTTGTAGAAAAATAAAGGATTGATTTCCTAAATAAGGTATGCTATTTTCTTCAAATTTACCAAGATCCGGTACAGATCTCATATCCACATGCATACTAGTGTCATGTCGACATGGGTGCAGCACCTAAACTGTTGTGTTGGAGCAAATTAGCTCTCATCCAAAGTCTTCGTCGCATCTACACCATGCTTTACTGTATGAAATTGCTGTATCTACTGAACAATGACCCAACCTAAGGCTTAGAATTACTCTACTTCTTCTTTATTTTTAAATTTTTTTTTGACAAGGTAAATTGTTCCATTGCCTTCTTAAAGGTAGGAGTAAGGTATGCGTACACTCTACCCTCCCCAGACCCCACTTGTGGGATTATATTGGGTATATTGTCGTCGTTGTTGTTGTAAGTTGTTTCATTGAACGTCATCAAGAAAATGCAGTGATAACAAAAATAAACCTTTAGAGGGGGGAGGGGAGATGGTGAAACCATGCTATTAGTTTTATGATGAGAAAAAATCTATGTCACTGCAAACAATGTTAAACGAGAGGAAACAAAAAGAAAAACGTGACCTGCTTCTGTTTAACCCAATTATTAACCATCCTTCCCAATTGATGAGATATCAAGCAGTATCTAACAGTTTAAGTGGCACTTTCTGATTTCATTCTCAAATTAAATTGACAAGGATCGAAGGCAAAAGGAAAAAAGAGGGAGATTGAGTTTGCCATGGTTTACTCTGCGACTCTAAACAACCTACTCCCTACGTTTCGATTTAAATGAGGTAGTTTAACTTGGCACGGAGTTTAAGAGAAAAGAGGGAGACTTTTAAAACTTGTGGTATTAAAAGCTTAAAAGGTAAAAGCTTTATGGGCCCATGACATTTGTGTGGTTATAAAAGCTTCTCATTAAGGGTAAAATGGGTAAAATGAAAATTTTAAAGTTGAATTATTTCCAATTATAGAAATGTGTCATTCTTTTTGGAATAGACTAATAAGGAAAGTGTGTCATCTAAATTGAAACGGAGGGAGTAATACTTAAGGACAAATCAAAGTGATGCACTTCATCTCAAGCAACAGCAATGATTTGTACAAAATACCAATAATTCGCATTCATAGGTTCTGCACATATAACTGGATAACAATCCTTTAACTATCCGGATTTGAATTGTGGTCACATGAAATGAATTGAAATCTTTCTCAAAATGAACTGAGTACTCCCTTTACCTTACATGGTTGGCAATTAGTACCGGATCAAGGTCACAGCGAATATCTCTTAAATCGGGGGACCATTTGGCGGTTAAGATCCCAGTGACAATCACATCATCTGACAACATTAAAACATGGCAGTAAATTAAGGACAAGGAAGAAAATCTGCATCAAGCTTATCAGTGAAAAAGAGGAAGAAAAGAGAGAATTGTTTCTCATTAGGATAGAAGATGAATTAACATAAAATAACACAGAATAACATTGCAAATAAGCAGACTGACATATAAACTACCTCCATTACGAAAAGCGACCTATTACTGTTTCAAATTCAAAACACATCTTAACTTTGACCTTGATTACTCAAACAAATGCTTCGAAATTTCATTACAAAATTTGTAGCGAATAGGGTGCTTTACAGCAACAAATGTTTTTTTATAACATGTGAATGATAAATGTCCTAAATGATACTAAACATTGATCTTTTTGAACCATGTAGGATGGAGGGGCTTAAATCTTTGTGGCGTCAGAGCATAAGATGTTTTAGTATATTCCATAGTAAAAGCAGCAAGAGACAGCTAATCAGCCCACACACCTTTATTGAACTGCAAACAAGCTAGTTTTAACAAAATAGTACCTCCAGCTTTAACCGTGTCAACAAGATCATCCTTCAGAATGACAGGAATGGAGCGAGGAATAGCCCCAACAGCCAATACCTGAGTACTTTCTTGGATTTTAATCTCCTGATAATCATGACAGATCTTATTGTCTTCTACAAGCTGAAAACTTGTGCTTTCACAAAACTTAGGCCTCTGTAAAAGAACTTTAAGAGATTATTGATTTTCTTACAAGCAGCTGGTTTTAGAAAATGATAAACCAAACTGGAAGAAAGTTATTGCAAAACCAACATGGAGAATGGGAGGGAATGAGGGTAGAAAAGTAGAGAATAGAAATTCAAGATTGAATAATGAAGTAAAACAACACAGCATATATAATCTATGAGGCAGTTTGGATTTTACTGTTACCAGCATGGTTATCAGAGGCGAAAAGCATAAATAAGCACCCAAGTATCTGTTGGGGTTTTAAACAGAAAGCACAGATAAAGTGCACACTTTAGTAAAGGTAAAGGAAAGATAACATAGTCATATTTATTATGTTGCCTCTAATTTCAGACATTGTGTGAAAATGATCCAATACCTCAAATATAGGAGGATACCATACAAAACATTTCACTCTGTCCCAAGTTTGGTATCTATTTCAATTTTTTACTATTCCAGTTCATTTCCATAAACTCAATTGATGGGCGTATTTAGCTTCTAATGCTTAATTTTCTTGTAATTCTCACACTTGTGTGACAATTAAAGGAAACCTTTTTTTGAAAAGGAAACCTGATTATACAAACATTAGTATAGTGCAGCTTATGTTAATATTTCCTCATGTTGCACTAGAAAATTTATTCTTTTTTTAGAGGCTAACCCGCTATACTAAGCTCCCGCTATGCACAGGGTCCGGCAAAGGGCAGGACTAGCTTCCTTCATCTACGGTGCACTAAACTCCCACTATGCGCAAGGTCCGGCAAAGGGCAGGACCAGCTTAGTTCACCTGCACTAATTCACTGGGTGTTCTGCTGTAGCCCACAAATTACACTCCAAAATTTCATACTTGGCCAAATCTGTTGCTAGTTATCAAGTTTCTTTAAACAAAATGTGGTAGAAATTCATATCTAACCAAAAAGAGCTTCTCTTGTCTGGACAAATTGCTTGCAAAATTACCCATACCAATCTTCTTCTAGTTGAATACTTTGTAACAAACAAAAGTCTCTATCAAACCAATTGACATGGTTGAATATGTGAAGTTCCTAAATTCAGCGGGACAGATCTAGAACTGCTAAAGTACGAAGCACGTTTCGTTCATAAGAATTCAGTATGACTGTCCTTTTTTATTATAAGGTAAAGTATTTAATTGAACAGTACCAAGAAGGTACCAAAACGTTTACGAAGGATCAGGATTCTAACAAAAACTACACAGTAATAGAGTCCAGCAAATTCGTGAAATCGGAAAAGCTAATTACAGAATCAACTCTAAGCCAACAAAATAATCTCTGTAAACATCTAGAAAGAATTCAATATGCCTGTTATTTGTTCTTAATAGGGAAAAATGTAATGAGATTGCACTTTCCACTGGCAATATCTGCCTTAAGAAACTAAAGCACTTAACAAGTTAAGCAATCAATGTAATGCAGATAAATAAATGTCAATTAGAATCAAATTGTGACTTCTGTATTCAATGAAAGAAGATTCCTGACCTTAAGATTCTTCATGCTAGTATGCACTTCTAACTTCTCATTCCCTGTATGCGCTATAAACTTCATTAATCTCCATCTCGGATTCATCTTCCAAATCACCCTCCAAACTACCCATACTATGCTCGTTATTTTCCACTTGAACTCTTTCATCTTCTGACTCATTCTCAAGCAAATCATCATCCACGAATTCCTGCAAATCTTTAAGAGTATCCATTGTTTCCTTCTTCCTCCTGTATCCAACAAAGCTTAGAACCTTTTCCCTCCAAACAGTCAAAGGGTGCTTCTCGCTCAACTCAGAACCTTCATAAGCACTATTAAGAAATACATGAAATCTCTTACCCCTTTCTGAAACATAAAACATTCCAAAATGTTTAAGCAACAGCCTCATCAGCTTCTGAGGCATTACGAACTCCCTCCTAAAATGTGTCAAATAATCTGTCACCAACCTCTTTTCGATTGTGAAGCTCAGCAGCTCATGCATCACTGCAACCGCCCTCTTATTGAACTCCAGTGTTCCGGCCTTTAGTTCCCTGGCATCTGCATAAGGCGACAAGTATTCCCGCTTCTGAAAATTCTCTATCTTCCCCTTATATCTAGACAAAACTTGTTTATAATCAGGTGGGAATTTCATTGGGAAAGACAAGGAAAGAAGACCAGCTACGTGATCATCTGGGGCCTGCATACCACCCAGCGCCTTCCTTTCTAACTCTGTCATAGCCCAACTCGATCTCCAATTCACAAGCTCTAAATACTCACTTTCATCATAAGGTTTAAATGGATGAACAACTCTAAAGTACTCAGGAAATCTGTGCACCCAATGGTTCCTAAAATCCATTGGCAACCCCAAATCTCTTCTGAAATGAACAATCTTATCTAAGGCAAGGCGCTTGTCCATGGACATCATCAGCATCCTAGTTACAAGTTCTGCAGCTTTATCACTCTGCTGTTCAATAATAGCCTCCTCTTCTTGGACTAAATCTTCAGCCTCCTTTGTCATACCACACCATAAAATCCCTCTATGATCCTTGTACAGTTCAAAGAGCTTTGGGGACTTCCGTAGAAAAGCTGAGATTTTATGGGGCTTCGGGAGGTTTATTTGCCTCCTATATTGATCAAGTTCCCTAATAGATATGATTTTTTGAGGCTCCTGTTTGAGGACTTCAAATATTAATAGGACTTTAGAGAGGATCTTGTGCTTTTCTGTGGCTATTTCAAGGTCATGCACCCGCTTCTTCTTGCTTCTGTCTTGGACTCTTTTACTGGTGGTCATTGATCGATGCAATTGCAAGATTGCTGAAGAATCTATGAACAAGAATGCAATTGATGTATTTAGTTCAGCAGAAAAACATCCCCGTTTACCAATAAGGTTGAGCATTGTGCCAAACCAGAATAATCAGAGGGGATTCTCCCACAAGACAAAGAGGGTATTGCAGCTGTTGTTAGTCCAAATACTAAATAGTGCACTGAGTGATGGATGCACTCACTTGTCATGCACCTACTGTTCCCCAATCATACACCTTCTGTTCCTGATCAATGCTTTGCCACAAATAGAAAATGGCCGGAGACAGCACGATGCGGCATGGCAAGGTTAATCCATTGCAGAAGCCTAAGACTTGTGAAAATAGGCCTCCCAAGTGCAACCAATTTGCCCTAAGTGAGTTCTCAGACAAAGTACCTGGAGGGAATATAAAAAATAACTCTGTTGAGACTGGTAGTTGTGGAACCAACATTACATACTGCTCTAGTGCCTGACATGACATAATATTGATTAAAGCAAATGAAGAATAATTACCAACAAGCACAAGTAACTATTGCAAGTCGATCATATTGCCATAAGATAACACCAAGAATAGATTATTCATTGGGGTAATCTATCATGATTACGAAGAAAAAAAGCTTCTAACTCGTGCAGCAATACTTAATGCGTATTTTCCAAGTTGTCATCAAACTCTTTTCACTCCTTTAAGAAATGAATTAACCTAGATAAGAAAACAATGGAAAAATTAACATTTATCCTTGTTGATAAGAAGTATTAGATGTCAAGTGGACTAAGCGTGCAAAACACTTTGCAGACTCAAGTGGTAAATGGATGATTAACTTTGTTAAAAAGCACATGTATCATGAGATAATTAAGAAGTGTGACGGTTCAAGTTAAGAAGACTACAGGAAGCAAAACATGTGAAGTTACAGCTCACCAATGCCATTTCACACCAACAAACACAACGGATGATGTTGGAACTTTTCTTTTTTTCGAGAAAGCATGATGTTGAAATTTCAAGCTCTGAAAACCCTATCAATGACAGTAAGCTTCTAGGTGTCAGTATCTATTGGGCAACTGTTCAACAGTTAAACCATTAAGGAAGTAAAAGAGAGATCTTGAGTGTAAACGAGCGTCACTCTCTAACAAAACCAAAAGAAAGAACAAAAAAGTTCCTGAGGTTAGATGTAAACTAGCGTCACTCTCTAATGCTATGCTGTTGAAATTATTACCTAAAAAACTTCCAAAAGCAAAAACGTAACCAAATACTCTAATGCTAATGGAATGCGTTTTCAGAAAATCGATACCTAAACATGAAAAATGACAAATATTGAGCACAAAAGAATATAAATAAATAAAATAAAGAAGCAAACAAGCTGGATACAACATTATTATTGTACTTTTCATTCTACTTAGTCATTCTATTAATCGATAAGAACTGTCTCCTATCTACTTTTATTAATTGAATTTTCGATTTTCTTAAAGGAAAAATAGTCAGTCTCTCACTTTTTAATCAAACAACTAAAACAACACAATATTCTAAAATCTTCTTTTGAATTCTTGCATATGTGAAATGGAATAAGAAATAAAGATTATGCCACAAAAGAAAGAAAGATAGTGATTAGATAGCGAGCAAATCCAATTGAGGCAAAAGGTCGAACACCTATAAGGCAGTTAATGAAACCAAGGGGGGCAAGGGGTATCCTTAAAATACTCCAAAAATAAGCAGGTAAATGCTTGTAAATTTAGTAAGTAAAATCAAATGAAAAGAAATCCCTACTCACTGAGCAGTGTAGGGATGTTTAAGTGGAATGAAATGACCATACTTGCTTAGCTTGTCTACTACTACTAGGATTACTTCACATCCATTTGACTTTGGCAAACCATCAATGAAGTCCATGTTGATCTGTGACCAAACTACATCTGGTATAGGTAGTGGTTGCAATAGGCCTAAATAAGCAGCTAAGTCTGATTTGTTCCTTTGACAGACATCACGTTTCTGGACAAATTTCTTTATGTCTTTCCTCATATTCTTCCAGTAAAACTCACCAGCCTCCTTAATGTAGCTTCAACACCTGAGTGACCACCTTGAAGACCAGCATGCCATGCTGTCATGATTGCCTTTCTTAGTTCTGGAACTTTCCCAATCACCAATCTGCCCTTCCTCCTTAGTTGGTCTTCAGTCCAAGTGAGCTGTTTATGAGCAGCAGGGTTATGTTGAAGTTCTATAATATGTTGCTTAAGCTCAGAATCTGAACTCCAACTGGATACTATGTTTTGGAATAGATCAGTGTCATGAGGTGATAGCATTAGTGCTAATAGTTCAGCACCAGTGACCCTTGAAAAAGAATTAGTTACTTTGTTTTCCACTCCCTTCTTGTATTCTATAGAGTAGTCAAAAGGCATAAATTTAGTTAACCATAGCAGTTGAGAATTAGTGTGCAGTTTTTGCTCCATAAGGAACTTCAGAGCCTTCTGATCAGTCCTTATGATAAACTTTTATCCCAGCATGTATTGTGACCATTTAGAAACTGCATGAACAACAGCCAATAGCTCCCTATCATAGACAGATAAGGTAGCATGTCTAGGTGACAGAGCTTTGCTAATAAAGGCTATTGGATGCCCTTCTTGCATGAGTATAACCCATATCCCAAAGCCACTTGCATCAGTCTCCACAATGAATGTCTTGTTGGCATCAGGTAAAGCTAAGACAGGAGCATGAGTAAGTGCCTCCTTTAGTTCTGCAAAGGCTGCATCTGCTACTGGTGACCATTTGAAATTGTTCTTCTTGGTCAATTCAGTTAATGGTTTGCAAATAACACCAAAGCCTTTGATAAACCTCCTGTAGTAGCCAGCTAGGCCTAAGAATCCTCTCAACTGTTTGAGAGTGGTTGGTGTAGGCCAATTCCTCACAGCTTCTATTTTATGGGGATCAGTAGAGACTCATTCTGATGTAATAAAGTGGCCTAGATATTCAATTTTGTGGACTCCAAAGAAACACTTCCTCCTCTTAGCAAACAATTGATGCTTCATAATCTCCTCAAAGACAGACCTTAAGTGAATCAAATGATCTTCCATAGTACGGTTGTAGATTAGGATATCATCAAAGAAAATCAACACATGTTTCCTAAGAAACTTGTGAAAAATAGAGTTCATTAATCCTTGGAAGGTTGCAGGAGCATTTGAGAGGCCAAAAGGCATAACCAGGTACTCAAAATGACCTGAGTGAGTTCTGAAAGCAGTTTTAGGCACATCCTCCTTTGCCATTCTAAGTTGATGGTAGCCTGACCTTAAATCTATCTTAGAAAAGATTCTGGATCCTCCTAATTCATCTAACAAGTCTTCCTCAATTGGGATGGGAAACTTGTTCTTCACAGTATGTCTATTCAGATCCCTATAGTCCACACAAAGTCTCCATGTACCATCCTTTTTCCCCACCAAGACAACTGGAGATGCAAAGGGACTACAGCTAGGTTGTATGATGCCTTGATCAAGCATCTGTTATACTAAACCCTCAATGATATCAAATACACCTCTAGAAGGAGGTAGTTCAGTAGGTTCTTCAAACAGTTTAGAATTTAGAATACTCAGATAACAGTTGTGTTAGCCTAACATCTGTTTTAGGTTCTTCTTTAGCCTTAAGTGCAGGCCATTGTTCACTCGCACTCGCCATAGGCACTACTTGAATCATGCATAACTGAGAAGTATTACTTGTATGTTTGGCTATCTTTCCAGCTTCTTGAACCTTGACCTGGTTGCTGGCTCCTCTCAGAAGATGCTTTCTTCCTTTGTACCAAAACTCCGTAGTTAACTTCCTGAAGCTCATTTTTATATCCCCCGGCGTCAGCAACCATTGCACTCCTAAGACTGCTCCATAGGAGCCTAGTGGTAGTAGTGAGAATTATGCTGAAAACTCAGCACCTTGCAACAAACATGTGATGGTACACATTTTGTCCACCATCATATTTCCATTAGCAACAGCCACCATTTGAGAAGTAGTTGATCTAATCTTCATCCCAAGTGATGAACCAATTCAGGATCTATGAAATTATGTGAATTCCCCGTATCAATTAGTATGTTCAATGCCTTTTTAACATGATAACCAGTCACCTTCAGAGTTTTGTAGAATAGAGAGCCATTCCGAGCATGGATAGAAATCTCCATTTGCTCTATGGACTGAGCTGGTTCTAGTTGCTTTAACTCTTCCTCTTGTAGTATCAGTTCACCCTCCTCCTCTGTGTCATGTCCTTCCTCTATTTCTTCTACCTCCAATACATATATCTGTGGAATTCTTGCACTTATGCCCAGGTACATACTTCTCATTGCAGAATTAGCATAACCCCCTTGCCCTCTTGTCATTCATTTCTTCTATACTCAATGTCCTTCTATTGAATCCGTTAGTATAATTTGAACCACTGGGGTTAGGAGTAGGTAGTAAGGGCTTACTAGTAGTTCCTTGTCTTGGATATCTCTTGATTGAAGAATTAGGTGTGTAAGAGGATTGTCTAGTTGCAGCTAAGTAAGCCTCTTGCATTCTAGCAGTTTTGTACACCTGAGATAGAGTAGTAGGATCGGTGAGTTTGATTGCAATGTTCAGCTCGTGTTTCAAACCACCAATAAAACAACTGATGGCATTTTCTTGAGATAGCCTCACTTGATTCAGATTCCTCTCAAAAATAGCTTGGTATTCTTTCACACTTCCAGTCTGTTTGATCTTTCTGATCTCCTCCATTGGATCATCAAAATCAGCCCAAACCTTTCTACCAGTGCCATAACATATTCATTCCAAGTAGCTGGCCGTAGATACTGTATGTACCTCATGAAGGAAAGATGCAATTGAATAGCCTCTCCTTCCAATTGCATTGCAGCTACGTCCACTCTTTCCTTAACAAATACTTTTTCCATAGAGAAAAATTGTTCAATTTTGAATAACCACGATCTCAAATCTTCACCCGTAAATAGCAGGAACTCCATTCCATTCTAGACCACCTCGAGAAATTAGAATCGAGGTGATTACAACTAGTAGGGCTCTTTTCTCCTTCAGATGGTTCACATTCATTCTGCACTAATGATTTATCATTTGGTTGCTCCCTTGAATTCGTGAATTGCTCCTTCAATTTAAGGATTGTCTGATCTAACTACTTCATATGTGAGACTTCACCTGATAAAGCTCCCACATCTGCTGTTAGTTTATGTATCAACTCGCGCAGATCAATGGGTTCTTCAGTCAACTTATCAGTTGATCCAGTACCTTTTTCCATGATTCGGAGGATCAAAAGCTCTGATACCAATGTTACACGATTGCAGGAGCTCGATTCAGGAAAAGCTTTGAGAATTCAGCTATGGTTAGAGTTTACAAAAGAAGAACAAGAGAAGAAGAGAAGAGAGAGATTAGGATAGAAGAATGTAATTTCATATGTGATTGTAATTGTTCATGGCAATTGTATATATATCTATTACAATTGATTGAATTCCCCTTCTATAGATTCTCTAACTAACGACCCTACTGACATATCCTCTAACTAACAGTAGGTAGTTATTCTAACTAACTCTAACGACAATTTGAATTTCTAACTACTACTCCTTTGCTCGACTCTTTATTCCAAAAATGTGTAACAGCTTCTAAGTTCTAAACATTTATGCAACAATTGGCTTTTAAGCCGGTTAAATTAGCTTTTAAGCTCTTTTTAGCTTTTTCAGTATTTGACAGAGTTAAAAAGTGCTTAAAATAAATTAAAAAATGCATAAAATAAGTCAAACGCAATAACCCCAACTTATTATTTTTTGACTTAAAAGCTATTTCTGCTGAAAACTCATTTTTAAGCCAATCCAAACGGGCTCTAAGTTTACATCAAATAAAATTCGTACTTACATTGGGAGTTGATTAGCCTATCAGATCTTTCTTTTCCCTATTTTATAATTTTGACTGAATAACAGTTAGAACCGAGTATTTGCATCCTTTTTTCTTCTATATACCTTCTAATCAAAACAAGTGTTTTAATCCCTCCTAACCGTAACAAAGCTTATGTGTAGCACTAATTTGACTGAGCGGACATTTTACTGTTGTTGTATTCGAGTTTATGGGATAGTGTCTTATTGTGCTGAAATTGTATAAAATTTACATGGGCAAAATAAGTAGACAGCATTCAAAAAAAATTGACAGAATTATGGCACTACTCCCTCTGCCTCATATTATCGGTCGTGTTTTTCTTCCCCTTAAGAAACATTAATTAAGAAAGGGATAGACTATTTTACCCTTAAGAAAAAAATGATTAATTTTGTCTTGAACTTCTAAAATGACAAATAATTTGAGACAATTATTTTAGTAACCACGACTGATAATATGAGACGGAGGGAATATTACGTAATTAACAAAAATAGCACCTAATTAATTTCATTGCTTAAGAGAAACACAAAGATTTTTGCTTATTTGTAGGAAACTAAGTTATTCCGAATCACCACTTATTTTTGCTTATTTGTAGGGATTCTCTTTTAACAATAATCTTTCATTTCTTCTATTTAAGTCTCTTATTTTCCTTCCCCTCGTCACTCTAACAGAAATTATACACATTCATTCAAGATTCTATATGTCACCAACACACCGAGTCTCCTATTTTCTAACTTTTTGTCTTTCTTTTAATTTTCTTTTAAGGTGAAATAAATTAATAGAATATTTACATATTATTCACTGTATAATTTACATTATATTCTTTTATACTAATATACATTGCTGGAATCTGAAGAGTAATAGGTAAAATATTTGATGAAATATTTATATTATATCCACAGTATAATTTCAGTTAATATTGATGGAACATTCAAATTATATAAAACTTTTACAATATAATATCCTATAAATATATTAAATATATATTGTGTTGAAAACATAAAATTGTCCAACATAAAAATAAAATATTAAGAAAATACCAGAAATCCCCTTGGTATAAATATACTTTTGTGGTATAATATCATTATAAAACATACTCAATAAGTGTATTTAAAGCACCGTATAAATATTGTCACACCTCCTTTTTTCGAGGGGATAGAGAGTTTTTCCAATTTAAATGTGACATTAATCGAAATGGGATTATTTTTTTTAATTTCAGAGTCGCCACTTGGAATAATTTATGGTGTCCCAAGTCACCGGTTTATTTTAAATCCCAAATCAAGGAAATTTGACTCTGTTTAAAAGTCCGTGAAACCAGAAGACTGGGTAAGGAATTCTGTTAACCCGGGAGAACGTGTTAGGCACTCCCAAGTTCCGTGATTTTAGCACGATCGCTTTCAATCATACCTGGCCTAATTAAATTGTTTAATTACGTATTTTAGAACCTATGTGTACTTTACCTTTTACCGCTTCTAATTACTCGATTATTCGTGATTATGGAATTATCTTGATACGAGTCACGCGTACGTGTACTCTTTTTGTTTGGTGTACCAAAGTTATGTCACGCGTACGTGTATACAACTAATAACACTTTATTATTAATATTGTTGTTGCGCGAACGCATACTTCGGTTTCAATTTTGGAAATCATAATCATGTCACGCGAACGTGTACACAATTACGATAGTAGATTAAATGCGTGCCTAAAGCATTTCTATGAATATCCAAAGGGTTAATTAATTTCCTAAGAAACAGGATTAATTGCGGAGGTTCTAATTAAGGAAATTCACTGAAAAACTTAGGGGTGATTCCAGTTAGCTCTATCCAACCCCCACAATCCCATAACATTACAATCTGCTTATACCCCTACAACATTTAATTTCTTACAAGCAAACACATGGCCATTATTGCTAATCCCCTAATTACCCAATTAATCTTTGCAATTTTCATGATTAACAAGAAGATGAAGTAACAAACATGAGACAAACCAAGCGAAAATGATTTCTACTGCAAAACATTTAGCATTCTTCATTTTTTATAGTTTGGGGTTAAAAAATTAAAATTAAGCACTTACATCCTTAACAACAAAGTTAACAGAACACAAAAATATTCCGCCACACAATACAACGAAATTTACTAGCACGAAAAATTCAAACGACACAACCATAACAGATTATAGAAATTTAACCAAGCATGATCTTCCGAGCAAAATGGTAAAGAAGAAAACAACGGACCTTTGAAACCTTTCAATATATTAAAGATCTTCCAACTGGTTTACAAGAAGAACCCGACACTGTAGTTAAAAACGAACAGACCCGTCACCCAGAAACCACGACAGAAATCTCAAACCGGCGACGACCTTGACGGAACCGCGAATATCTCCGGGAACCTCAGACTACGATCTCAACTCCGTTGGTTCAACGCTGCACCTGCTGATGCACCACCGACGTGTGCTAATGCAGTAGCAGCGGTAGGTATCGAGAGAAAAGGAGAAGCCAGTAGAAGCTCGGATGAGTGAAAGGATCGACGAAGCTTGAAAATCTGGTGCGTGGCTGATTTCCGGCGTTCTTTGTGTGTGTGTCTGTTTATATGGGTGTGTGTTGCGGCTGAAGGTTCCGAAAATGAGAGGGGGGAGGGTTCGTTTCTTGTCTTTGAGATTAGGGTATGCTCCTGTTGTTCTAAGGTTGGAGGGATTGAGAGGTTGGGGCTGCCGTTTTTTATTGTTTTTGAGAGGAAGGAATTTTGCGTCTGGTTTCCGGCGGCTGCCGGAAGAATGGAGAAGGGTGGTCTCGCTGGCAGAGGCGAGAAGATGGGGTGGGCGGCTGTTCTGCTCTGCTCGACGGCGGCTGGGTTGTTGGAAAGGGGGGAGCTGAGTGAGGGTGGCGGATGGATTTACAGCTTGTTTAGATTGGTGTTGCCGTATGGTATTGTACTGTTACGTAAAAGTGGTTGTTATGATTGTTTAATTATAATGGATTGTATTGTATCGTTAAATTAATTGTTCCGGAACAATGATTAGTATTTTTTTTAAAATAATCGATTTAGTATGGTGGTATTGTTTATAAATTTTTTTTCCAATCATGCTTTAATTTATTACTCCATAATTCTATTTTACCTTTTAGCCTTTTTGTTATTTTAATTCCAAATCTCCAACATATGACCTACTTTATTTTTTTTTTCAAAACTTCTACTGTCAACGTTAAAGGTGTTTTGTCGCATTCTGTTTTATTTTCTCCTAATTTACTTTTAACTCAATTCTAATTAGTTGTGTTCGTTTGTTTTGTCTGCTTCTGTCTCGCTCCTTTGTTCTGCTTTCTTAAGGTATTTTGCCTTCTTTTGTTTTATTTTTTAAAATTATTTTTATGCATAATTTTTGATAAATTTTAATATTTAAACAATTGAGGGTATTTTAGTAAACTTATCAGTTATAGTACAGTACGATACAGTCAAACCAAACAACAATATTATTTAACAATAACAAACAATACAATATATTCAAACGTCTCCTGGAAACAGCATCTCTATCCTTCAGGGTAGCGGTAAGGTCTGCGTACATATTACCCTCCCCAGACCCCACTTGTGGGATTATACTGGGTCGTTGTTGTTGTTATTGTATAATCTATTCAAACATTATATTCATAAAACGACACGATACAATACATTATAAAACGATGGGGAACAATGATCCAAACAGAGTGGTTAGAGAATGATAGCATGTTCGTCCAAGCTAGAGAAATCGGCTTATTTTGATAAGTGTTTTTTTTCAAAAGTGCTTTTGAAAAACGTACTTTTGGAGAGAGACAGTTTGTGTTAGGCTAATCAATCTACAAAGCACTTTTAAACAATAATTTGTGTTTGGCCAAGCTTTTCAGAAAATGCTTTTAAGTATGAGATTACGAATAAGGACATGAATATATTTACTTAATAGTTAATATTATAAGTAAATAAATAATCTCAAAAATTTGTTATTACAGGTAATAGTTAAATCTTTTCATTTTATTTAAGTAAAATATGAAAATAAAATTAAAAAGTACTTAATTCTTTTAATATAAGTTAAATATATTAAAAACATTTAACAAATATAAAAGCATTCACCCCTAAAGTTACTATATATTAGAAAGTTATCCTAAAAATAAGAAGAAATACTTATATATTAATATCCTAAGTATTAGGTTTAACGATTATTTTGGTATATAATATATTTTGTTAAGGGTATTTTTGGTAAAAAGAAAAGTCAAAACTACTTTTGCTTCTGCTTTTGGAAAGAAACTACTTTTTTCTGCTTCTCAGAAACTGCTTGTGCTTCTTCCCAAAAGCATTTTTTCCCTCTAAAAAGCTTGGTCAAACACCTCAAGTTAGGAAAAAAAGTGCTTTTGGAATAAAGAAAAAAAGACACTTTTGACTTCTTGAGAAGCTTGGCCAACAGGCTATGAGAGTGTCATCTTAAACTATTAGGGTTTTAAGAGTTGAACTGATGGGTCCAATGAATTTTTGGACGTGGGTCGTAGGTCTATTGGATATTTGGGCTAAGAGGAATTGGGCTGGTCCAAAATTGCTTAAGAAAATCCAAAATGGGGCTAATTTTGGAGTTGTTCAAACTCTTTTAGCTAAAATCTCAAATCTTCTTCTAAAATAGTATAATGTATTTATAAAATATAAAAATCACTCTTAATTAATTAACATATACTACTAAAATAAAATTAGATATTAAAAGTGAAACTATTTTTGTATTTTTCAAAAATTAAACTAAAATAAGCTAAATCAATATCACTATAAAATACTAACTACTCAAATACATACAAATAAGACAGAGAGTGAAACTATTTTTTGCGGTTTCTAATTTTTATGCTTTAAGAACTAGAATTAAAATTAATAATAGAGCGAAATCCCATAGAAATTTACTCAAAGAAATATTCTAAAAATACTTAAACTACTAAAGATAATTTTAGTGTGCGAGTCAAAAATTACGTGGTTACAAATATTGTATGTTTTATTCAAGTGTTGTTGTGTAATATTTTTGGTATATTACAGGTATTAAGTATATATAAACGTTTATATTTAATATGTCATATTTTAAAAGAGACATGTTCTACTAAATATTTGGGAAAAATATGTAAAATGACAACAGATCAGAAAGAAATGTTATACTTGAATCCACTTGGTTGTGTGGTAGTGATAATATTATGTATATTGCACCAAATTACATATCTTTTTTTTGGTAGGAAAGGTAAGTAACATATATTAAAACATGCGCATAGGGTTGTGATGCTCATGCATCATATTACAAGTGCTAGTGCTAAATATACTATTAAGTATACTATCCGTACATGCATAACGATGTGAGGTATCGCCTCTAGTAATGTCACACTAACGATTCTTCAAAGTAGTATGGACTGCATTTTTACTACTAAAGCTCTTAAAATAAATAATAGCAGCCTCCTTAGGTACATGATTAGTAACAAAACATCTATTGCCATCTTGATCATCCAGCTGTTGTACTATTATAGGTGGAATCATGCGTTGGGACGTGAATCCTCGCTGGTCTTCTAACAGTTGTTTTGTAACACAAAAAGGTGGTTCAACAAAAATGCACAATGCAGCAGCAGGTGGCATCCTATTTCCTAGCTTTGCAAGATTATCTGCTACACAATTCTGCTCCCTGTATGCATGGTTGACTACTGGATCATGGAGTGTCCCTAGGAGGTACCTGCAATCCAAAATTAAGTTAGAATACCTCGAATTTTGGTTATCCAGAAGTGTAATTACCTCTTTTGCATCTATTTCCACTTGAAGTGGTAGCAGTCTCAGTTGTGCTGCTAGACTTAAGCCTTTGATGAGTGCTTGTAATTCAGCAGATAGACAGTTCATATGAGGAATTTGGCCAGCGAATCCCACCATCCACTCGCCTTTGTGATTTCTAATAAGCCCCCCAATTCCATCTGTGTCAGTCTTGGAAGAAGTTGCCCCATCCGTATTTAGTTTGTAAAAATTTATTTGTGGGGTCATCACTTGTTTTTAAATTGAATTCTGCGTTCCTAGGCCTTAAAACCCTCTTTTAGCATCACCTCGATTTGCGTACGAATTCGGGCGCGAAGCCGGAAAGCTTATATGTGAAAATTTGTGAAAAATGATGAATTTTGACTATAAAATGAATTAATTTGACTTCGATCAACGTTTTGGGTAAACGGAGCCAGACCTATGATTTGACGGTCCCGGAGGGTCCGTAGGAAAATATGGGACTTGGGCGTTGCCCGGAATCGAATTCCGAGGTCCCAAGCCCGAGAAATAAATTTTTAAAGAAAATTATTTTCTGAAATTGTTTAAAGGATTTGGAAATGAATTTTAATTAGAACATGTTGTTATCGGGCCCGTATTTTAGTTCCAACACCCGATATAGGTCTTATATTTGATTTAAGATAATTCTATGAAGTTTGGTAAGAAACGGAATCCATTTGACGTGATTCGGACCTTAAATGCAAAATTTGATGTTTTAAGAAGTTTTGAAATAATTCATTGATTTTGAGGTTTAATTCGATGTTAATGACGTTATTTTGGCGATTTGATCACACGGATAAGTTCATATGGTGTTTTTGAGTTAGTACGTATGTTTGGTTTTGAGCCTCGAGAGATCGGGTGTGTTTCAGATGTGTATCGGAAGGTTTTTGGAACTCAAAAAGTTGCAGGTTTTTCAGTTCTGGTGTGCTGATATTTTCTTCTTCGCGTTCGCGGGAGGACCCTCGCGAATGCGATGAGCTATTCATGCTGAAGGAAAATTCCTTCTACGCGAACGCGAAGCATTGGGGGGTCTTCCCTTCGCGAACGCGGGCCTGGTATCGCGAACGCGAAGGCTTATAGCCTGGGCAAGGGGAAGGGTACTATACCCTACGCGAATGCGACCACCTGGACGCGAAAACGAAGGCTCCGGGAGCTACGCGAACGCGAGCCGTTTAGCGTGAACGCGAAGGTCACTTAAGCTGGCTTCATCGCGAACGTGATGAAGGCTTGTCCAGTGATTTTAAAACAGAACCAAAAACGGGATTTAGCCAAAATTTTATAACTTTTTCTCTTCAACTCCAAATTGGACGATTTTTGAAAGGGAATTTCACCACCAATTCATAGGTATGTAATCTTAGACTTATTTTCTTCAATTCCCATTAACACCCATTAGATTTCTAGGCCTAAATTATGTGATTAATGGCAGAAAATTAGGGATTTGGGTAGAGTTAGGGCTTTTTGATTATTTGGGAATTTGACCTCGTTTTGGGGTTGGATTTCAAAACAAATTATATATTCGGGCTCGTGGGTGAATGAGTGATCGGGTTTTGATATGAACCTCGTGTTTTGACCAAGCGGGCCCGAGGTCGATTTTTGACTTTTTGGGAAGAATGATGGGAAAGCTATAATTAAGCATTGAAATTGGACTGTTTAGCATTTATTGATGTTATTAAGTCGATTATGTCTAGATACAATTAATTTGGAGCCGAATTCGAAAGGAAAGGCGGTGTTTGAGGCTTGAGTTGGTCGTGGAAGTTCGAGGTAAGTGTTTGGTCTAACCTTAGCTTGAGGTATTAGGAGTTGTACCATATTTGCTATTTGCTTCTTGTTGAGTACGACATATAGGCATGGTGACGAGTATTTATACATTGTGTTAGGCATGACCGTGAGTCTTAAATTGAAATTTATTGTGTTCTTAAATAGTACTACGGATGCTTTAATGATGATTCTCGATATTGAGCAAGGATTAAGTTTGTTTTCGTGGAAATTACTTATGATTGAGTATTGGTGTTAGCTGAGATGAGTAGAAGTTGGGTTAAGATTGGTTATAGTTGTTTCTCCCTTGCTGGGACGTATTTACTTTTACTGTCGAATCCCTTGCCGGGATAGTGTAGCTTATTGTTGATCCCTTGCTGGGACTCTTGGTATGATTGTTGCTAAAGTTATATAAATGTTATGTTGGATCGGGTTGCACGCCGCAACAATACTATATATGGAATGGGTTGCATGCCACAACAATGTTATATTGGATCGGGTTGCATGCCGTAACAGTGATATAAGTGGATCGGGTTGCACGCCGCAACAGTGTTAAATGATAAGGATCGGGTTGTGTGCCGCAACAGTGTTATTATTGTTTGTTGTAGATCTTGAATTGTCCCCTCATATCTCTCTTAAATTACTACTGGACTTGATATTTTCCCCGTAGCATGTACCCCCTCCCACCTATTTGCTTATTTCCGGTATTATTTTTCCGTTGTATATTATATAACTGCATAGGTTTATCTGAAGTCTGATCCTAGCCTCGTCACTACCTCGCCGGGGTTAGGCCAGGCACTTACCAGCATATGGGGTCGGTTGTGCTGATGCTACACTCTGCACTATGTGCAGATTCCAGAGCAGCTTTTGGACAGTAGCACTCGGGGAGCCTGCCTTCAGTCCATCTAGAGATCCAGAGGTAGTCTTGCAGGCGTTCGCAGGCCCGACGTTCTCTTCTACTTTATTATGTACTCTGTTTTCATTAGATTTCAAGACAGATTGCATTTCTTTCAGATATGTGTATGTAGTACTCATAGATAGTCCGTGAATATTGTGACACCAGATTCCGGATAGAGGAGTATATTGGCCTTGTAGTACTGGCTTGGTTATTTTTAGTTGTTTAAGTCTTCCGCTTATTCTGTTATCGTTAATATTTAAAATGTTGATTGCCTGCTAATTAAAACGGTTAAAAAGGATTAAAATGAAAGAGTTAGAATTTCTATATTTCGTGGCTTGCCTAGCTTCTACGAGTAGTCACCCTCACGACTCCCTCGGGTGGAAAAATACGGGTCGTGATAGGTTGGTATCAGAGTTCTAGGTTACATAGGTCTCAGAATTCATGGACAAGCTTAGTAGAGTCTGAGGGATCGGTACGAAGACATCTGTATTTATCCCCAGAGACTACAGAGTTAGGATAAACTTCACATTTGTTCTTTCTTGTCGTGCAGTTTGGTTTCTCAATGCTAATTGAATTTCTACTCTGTTTTTTCGCAGATGGCGAGAAAGCGTGCTTCCTCATCTACCGATCAGTAGCTCGAGCCCCCAGCAGCAGCTCCCGCGAGGGGTAGAGGGCGAGGCTGAGGCCGTGCTAGAGGTCGAGGCAGGGGCAGAGCTCAGCCCAGGGCAGCAACACACGCAGCAGAGCCTCAGGTTGACTTTGATGATGAGGTTCTGGCCCCAGTAGTTCCGGTGGGCCCAGCTCAGGTCCCAGAGGAGTTTATTGCTACTCTACTTCTTTAGGATGCTCTGGTCCATCTAGTGGGCCTTATGGAGAGTGTCACCCGAGCATGCTTGCTTCCTGGATCCCCAGGATTATCTAGACAGTTGTTATGAGGTTCTCAGGAACATGGGGATAGTTTAGACCAATGGGGTCTCTTTTGCTACTTTTCGCTTGTCAGGATCCGCCAAGATTTGATGGAGGGATTTCTGTTTGGCTAGACCAGCCGGATCGCCAGCTTTAACTTGGGAGCAATTTACTCAGCTATTTCTGGAGAAGTTTCTCTCCATCACTCAGAGAGAGGCCTATCGGAGGCAGTTTGAGCGTCTCCAGTAGGGTTCTATGACTGTTACCTAGTATGAGACCAGATTCATCGACTTGGATCGTCATGCTCTTGTCATACTTCTCACCGACAAAGAGAGGGTAAGGAGGTTCATTGATGGACTTATTCAACCGATTCGTCTTCAGATGGCTAGGGAGACTAGGAATGAGAATACTTTCTATGTGGCCAATGTCGCACCTCCTATTTGCCGCACCCGCGGGGCGCATGGGGAGTTTTCTCCAATTAAAGGACAGTCGAAACGGGATTTGTTTGTTTATTTTAGAGTCGCCACCTGGGAATTTTAAGGCGTCCCAAGTCACCAATTTCAATCCCTGAATCGAGGAGAATATGACTCTGTTTATTATTCTGCGAACCAGAAATCCTGAGTAAGGAATTCTGTTAATCCGGAAGAAGGTGTTAGGCATTTCC